ATTAAAGATTAGAACCTGAGGGAAACGTGCATCTGTCTCTTATACACATCTAGATGTGTATAAGAGACAGCTGTACAATAATTGTTACAGTTTAATCAAATTGATTAAATCTACCGTTTGAAACCACATGGATGTCTTATAACATCAACTCATTACTTTTACAGATAATGCAATAGTAGATAACATGGTAGAGACAGTTAAGAGTAGAACATTATATTGCATACAAGAATTTTAAAAGACACTTGTCTATCAACCTTGCACAACCGAACATTAAAGTTACAAAAAAAATAATGGGCGGAAATTAATTATTTAGCGTTACCTAGATATTAGAATAACACATTAATACAAAACAAATTTCCCTGCCGGAATCAGTGTTCGGTGCATTTAACGTGCATCAATTTTATCGGTATATATACTCGACAATACTCGGTATAATACTCGGTGTAATACTCGGTATAATACTCGACACAGACCTTTGCTGTAAGCAAAAGTTGAATAATAGAAAAGGCACTTACTATATCGCTCAGGCGAGTAAGTCGTTCCCACAACAACCCTACACAGTCGAGCATGAATGCTGCTCGCTCAATCTAATCTGCGTCATAACTCAGATAAGCATGATTTATCGGTTTCTTCCCATAAATCCCGACACACAGAACATTATTCAATTTTGAAGTGCTACCACTCAGGCGTTTTCCATCAACAAGCTTAGCACGTTGACCATGAGCGATAAAAAAAAGTCTACAACATCGCACTGATGTTGATATACATCGCACGGATGTTGATCGCAACACTGAAATTGAAATCCGTAGTCGATAACAAGTTATGAACAGACTGAGGTCAAAAGGTCCTCGAGTTTTAAAGTGTGAGAATGTTGTGGACGTGAGAACGTCTGTCTCTTATACACATCTAGATGTGTATAAGAGACAGATATTACCCCAATCGTTAAGCAAGAAATAATTCTATCTCGCGTATAAATCGTCGTTAAGTTGACAATAACAATTGTATGTTATTATATCTCATTGATCGCAAAACAAGTTTCCTTCAATCAAGCTTTGGACTGAGTTAGTATCTCAGCATTGATCAGAAAATCCTTAACTTGATTACTTGAATTTATACAACACAATTTTTTATGCTCTACATGCTGTAAATTTGAGCAACGTGAAATTAGATTTATCACGATTATAAGTCATCTCAATAACAGTCTTACTGACATCTTATTTCCTGCGTGCGCAATAGCGTGCAGTAGTCAAGCTATTATTTATTACATCTCGTTATATTCGGTAAAAGAACTAACGTTTAACAGTATGAATCATGAAAACATCTTTGCACTCTATTGCATACAATGCAATATTTTGAATACGTGCAATATTATTTAACGGAATATTTGCTTTCAACGTGATAGTCTCGCTTTGAGGATCAGAGATTCTATGTACTTTTACTCCTGTGAGAAAATTAGTAGCATGACACATTAATATGTTGGCATTAATGGAATTAATATATATTAATTCTAATACATTAGATACAATAATGTGACCACCTTCTCTCAGAACGGGTAACAAGTGAGTAAATGCAAGAAGTCGCTCGTGTGTTCGCCTTGATCTGCGGCTCTCTTGGACCTAGCTGTTGTTTACGCAACAACGGAGCTCAAGCTCCGGCGCCAAGCTCTCACCTCTGAACCCTGTGTCTGCAGTGCGTCCATCACGCACATAGCTTGACGTACACGTTGTACAGCAAGAGCTTTTAAATAGTCACGTTTTTATTGACGTTTCGTGAATTAAATACTGATGTAATTTAAATGATGACAGCGTTTATGTGATTTCGTATTTACGTAAATCATCATTCGCTTTTGACATATCAACAATTGAATAGAATAAATGAACATTCTTAAAGTTCATTAGAAGCTTCAGTGATTAGAAATGACGATCGTAATTAAATGAACGATTTGTTCAGGAGCGAACTTGATAACCTTGTATCTAAGTCGCATATACTGTGTACGATCTCGTCACACGATTCAGAGACTTGCATAGACATTAAAATAAAATCAGCCCGTTGCTTGCAACGTTTTTAGCCATGCTGAATTCACAATAAACATCACAGTTTGTCTCTAAAAAATTATCACATCATCAACATCAAAAAAATTCAAATTAAGCTAGATAAATTGGTAGACGTACATTACGTTATCACCATATCAGTCAATCAATGTCAATTGATGACTTTCTCAGTAACAAATTCTGACCGCCTATCATGTATTAAAACATGAACAGTGCTTACGTGCTACCATATGGTTTGAACACATGCAAACATTTATGACGTCAGTGTTGACTGCTAGCATTTTCTAATTTGAAAAGAGCGAGTATATATAAATCCAAGAAGGATTTCAACATCATTTTATATAACCGGATTATGATAATCTCTGGCAAGAACAGCTCATTATTCATTAGCATCAACGGCGTTAATGCCGTATTACTAGTAGAATTCGTCAATTCTGTAATTAAGGCTGTAACAGCATGAAGTTCATTAGTGAGAATTGGCTTNGCTTACGTGCTACCGTATGGTTAGAACATATGCAAAAATATTTTGTGGCGTCAGTGTTTTACTGCTAGCATTTATAATTTGAGAAGAGCGAGCATATACTCTAAAAAAAAAAAGGGTATCAACATCGTTTTATATAACCGGATTATTAAATCTCTGGTATTCACAGCTCATTATTCATTAGTATCAACGGCGTTAATGCCGGATATCTATCAGAATTCTTTCGTCCTGTAATTAAGGCTGTAACAGCATGAAGTTCATTAGTGAGAATTGGCTTAGTTTGAGGGACTCATCGTGCTAAATTATTAATTTAACATCGGCCTCTAACCTCACAGGATTCATTTTTCCGACTCATGTTACTATGAATCAATGACCGTTATTTTGCATATGAAAGACTTTGTCTTTTTATCAGTCCGTAATTTAATTACTTCGACTGGAAACATTCATCCCGGTGAGCTTGGGCACGCTCACCGAGGCACACACGTTGCCGCCCAAAGCACCGTAGTACACATATTGCCACTCGAAGTAAAAAAAGAATCCGTCTCTGACTATTAACGCTCGTCATGTGTATAGTGTATTCACACATGAACATTGCTACGCGTTATAAATACAACATCGCACAAGAAAAATAGATACAAGTCTATTGAGCGTTTAAGCAAAATTATCAGTTAAATGGTCATTTGGAAATTAAATATTCGGGAATCGTTACTGATCTCCCATGACTCGCAAAATACTCATGATATCGCGAACCAGATATTATTATTACCTGTAGGTTAACAAACAATATTAATTAAATCTAATATGAATATTTCATTATTAGAATACCCAACTTCAGTCCAGCGACTCTTGAGATGTCGCGACAGTTGAGATTGTTCTTGCCTCTTCTTCACTTTATTATTTGCGCAAGTTTCGATGACCGAGGTCACCGCTCGATGTATCTTGAACTTCTTCACGGGCGCGTATAAATATACGTCGTTCCTCGTTCGTTACTCGTGCTGTTGATGTTGCTTCGCTCATTGATGTGATGTTTTAGCTTCTCTTCAATGTTGTTCGACGACTTTACCAGGATTCTGGGGTTTTGGTCGTCTCTGATCACTTGGTATACAAAGCAGAAAGTCGGCGCTGCTGATGCATGAAGACGCCGCTACTGATATATGAAGCCGCCGCTGCTTCTTCAGAGATGCAATGGACTTTAAGTCGCTGCTGCTGATTCTTGAAGTTGCTGCTGCTGATACTTCTTGTAGATTTTCGTGATCATTTCTCTAATCCTCCTCTTACTTCCTGTACTGGAACAATCCAGTGCACTTGACTTTACCAGGATTCTATTATTTACGGACGGATCACTTTGAAACTTGGTAGACATATGTAAAACATAAATCTAAGAATTTTTTATTCGTATGAATTAAAAAAAATGAAAACGTGAAATTCTAGGAAAACGGCCAAAAAGAACTCTAGAAATCTATCTCCTAGGATGTTCAAGCTACAATATTGAGACGCATATCATTCGATGCGTAAGAACCATATCTATCGATTCCTCGCAGCTTTTTTCGAAATTTGAATTTATGTGGGTGGGGGGGGGAGGTTCATTTTTCGTAAAAAATTTGCGATTTCCTTTTTCAAATTATTTTCAAAACTAACGAAATTTTAAAAAAAAGCTATTACCAATCTCTAGATCTTTTATTTGCAAATCGAATGGTATAACTCTCATTGCTGAAGCTTCAATACTGTAGCCTGTAGGAGATAGTTTTCCAGTGACAATAAGTGTGAATGTACAGTAGAGCGCTACAAAGTTCCGCGCGCCTCGAAATAGCCATTCAAGGTTGCAAGGAAGCAAGACTAGCCTTTACTTGAGCTCAATTTCTGTCAAGGAGGGTGCGAACGACTGCACGACAGCCATCCCGCACGACTGCAGCCTGATAACAAGCGTAGCGTGTTCAGACTAGCTATTTAAATTGCACTGCGGGGAATTTCCCATTATGTTGAATGTTACCTTGCTTTGGGTTTTGTGCCCTATGTGAAAACGAAGCGGAGCAAAAAAAAAAAAATCACGACAACGCTCCAAGGACCGTAATGTCGGTAAATAGCTTCGTTGTTAAGTAGGTCAAGATCAGTGTCGATTTGATAAAGTTATGTGTGAAAACGCACTTAAAATCGAAACGGGCAAAAAACTCTAATAGCGCCCGTAAGAGCGTTGTATGAATAAATGGCGTCACTTTCAACTTAGTCAAGAAAGTTATGCATGAAAATGTTGTTATTAAAATTCGTCCCAAAGGTCATCATCGATTCCCAAAGAATCAAACAATTTTATCAAATTATTTCAACACGTTAGGAAAAATTTAAATTTCATCTATATTCTAACATCACGTCTGTCTCTCTTTATATATTATATATATATAAAATTCCAGAATGATCAAATTTATTCGGTATTTTCATTGCAGATGCCCGCGTGGCATACAAGTATAGTCGTGACCTTACTAACAGTGCTCTAAAAATTGATTTGTCGTTGTGGCAGACGAGGATCTTTTTAAGCATTATTTAGTAATTATTTGAATTCAAAATGAGTGGTGCTAATAGCACGCCTCTTGGGAAGGCTCATCCTAAGACAGGATCTTCTCAGAAGTCGGTTTCATCCTCTGGGAGCTCTTTATTGAAACCCAGTTATATGTCGGGCGGTGGCAGCAGTAATGGCGGTGGCGTGATGTCCCCTCCGGCTTTGCAAGCATGCAGCATAGGAGCTGCAGCGGCTGCCGCAGCCAAGGCAGCTGCAGCCTTGGCCATCAACAAAAGAGAAAGAGAATCATCACCCAGCAGTAAAGGTAGATGTTTATTCTCTTTGAGTTTGGGATCTCAATTAGCCTATTTTTTATTACAGAGCTCTAATTTGAAACTTTTAGTTGCTTTAATTTATTTTCTCTAAATGCCAAATTGGGAAGGTAGGAAACTCAACTGGACAGAATATTCTTTCTGGAATATTGATTAAAATTTTCCAAAACTGATAAAAATACCTATTTGGAAATTGGAATAGGAGGCAACACCTCATCTTGCTGGAATTCTTGCTGCATACTAGTGCATAAATGATAAAACTTGTCATTTTTGAGTGCAGGCATGGACTCCTGCATTAAATACTATAATATATTTGGCTAGCCTGTAGCCGCTACTGGATTTTTAGTGCCGTGTCTTCATGGGTTTGCCACTGCCAGCTAGTATGGAATATATCTACTTGGCGAGCCGCGACTGAATTTTTCGAGCCGTGGTTTTATGGATTTGCCTGAGCCGCGAGATTTCATACCTACTGAAATTATATGATATTAGAGCCGCGATATTTCAGACAAAAATAGGACTTTTCCAGACTAGACTGCCAGGCCGCAGGCGCCAGCCGTGATTCCATTTCTTTGAGCCATGAATTCCATATCTTGGCCACGAACTTGTTATTTACAAAGCCGAAAAGAACATGACATCCTGCAATACCTGCATCTCTAATTTTACCATAAAAACAGTGACTAGGCCTAGCATTTGTCTTCACTTAAGCAGCAACTGAACAAGTGATAATGCAGTCTTATTCTGACTGCTCTGACATGATCGCAACTGCGCAATCTTCTAGGAAATATTTTGAGTTGACTTGTTTCATGTTTTGCATGTTATTTTGGTGGGAGGCAGGAGCATTAAACTGATTGAAGTAGGATATATACTGCAGATTGTGGAAGTTGGAAATTTTATGAATCGATATGTTTGCAACAAACTGCTTTTTTTTCAATCAAACAAAAATTTATGACATTAGAGCTGCAAGATTTCATACTTGCTGAAATTATAAGATATAGACCTGCAATATTACAGAAAAAAATAGGATTTTTCCAGCCCTGTTTTGCTGTTTGTGTGGATGCATGTCCATCTCCAGACTGTGATTGGTTGTTTCGCATATGCTTTTCCAGCATCCAGCCTGCTAAGCTAAATAATATTAACTGACTTTTTAATTTGAGCAAACATAGAGCTATTAGAGCATTGATTCCATGGGATCTCCTCTAGAGAATTTCTGCAAGTACAAATATAAATAGCTGGGAGGTGGCGATATGGTTTTTTAATGTTGAAATCCCATTCACAGTAACCTTTGTATAGAGGTGATGATATTGTATTTTAAATTTAGGAATATATCAAATTCATTGCAATGTTTTATGCTATCTCTGAAATTATTATTAAAGTCAAAGAATACAATGGAATGAATAATTTTATATCTTACTGAGACTCCATCTTGCAGATCGGGAGCGCAATGAGAGGAAGAGGAAACGAAAATCAAGATGGCAAGGTGATGAGAAGGAGAAGATTTTCATTCCTGGAATGCCCACTGTCCTCCCATCAAATTTAACTAAAGACCAGGAGGAGGCTTACCTTTGTGAGTATTTTTAGGGGTTGAATGTTACTCACAGTAGTAGATTGAATGTAATATTGTTCATCTATCAGTTTTATTTGATTAATTAATATTGTTGTTTAAATGGGTTTTTCTTCAAAATTAGGTTCAGAACATTCAGTGAGCTGCTCATCTGGATGCTCAGCAGTCTTCAGTAAAGACCTAATGATCTGTTTTTTTTTCTCAAGTGCAGCAATATTTTAATATTAATGTAAATTGTTAGTCTATTATAGTTTTTATGCTCCTCTTAAATCTATTTTAATTGTGGAGATGTGTTATTCATTTTATCTATTTGCTGACATTTAATTTAATTTGTGCAAAACAGCAATGTGTATTTGTCCTACTTCTTCCTTATCTATTGCTGAAGATTAAGCTAATGCACAATCAGTGGCAGTGTACTTGCATTACCAACTCTACAGTTCATTGACAATGTCTCATTCTTTGTAAAATTCCTTCAATGATTTTTCTGATTATACTGAGAGGTTCATACTAGATACTACCAAGCCAAAATGTTGATAACTATCTCCAATTAGACTAATTGTACTTGTGTATGACAATGATGCTTTGGAAGTTTGTTTAAAAAATGCTGAATTAATTTTCTCCAACTTTCCACTGAAATTAAAATACAAATATTTTCTTGTGATCGGCCTCTTGAGGTAACTGGATTTTCAATGCACTTGAAAATCTTCATTATTTTTCAGCAATATATACCTGTACAGATCTCTATTTTACTTTAATACATAATCAGCCTAAATTTATTCTTTTGTTTAAACAAAAATTTTCCCTTAATGAGTTTCATCAATGAATTACTGTGCACCTAATTTAATGACCAACAAATTTTATTTCCCCATAATTACATTATTTAATCATGAAGATGTGTAATTATACCAAAGATATCCTTTCTTGCAGCTATAATGAGTGCTAAAAACACGTAATGAGCTGTTCTTTTTGTTGCCTTTACACAGATTTCTAAGCCATGACATTGATAATTTTTTCTAGGGCAATTTTTAACTACTTCTAATGTTGACTATTGTAAGATTTTCCTCCCACATGCTAGTAGGTGATGTAAAATGTAAGTATTTGTTTAATTTGTCATTTTCAGGCATGTTATTGACATATTTTTGGGCTTTTGCGCCCATCTTAACCCCGTTCATTACAGTGCAACTGCAGATTGAAGAGATAAGCAGGAGACTGCGCAGCAATGACCTCGGCATCCCTGCTAACCCTGATGAAAGGTTGGAGTATTGCAGTGGGTCCTTGGGCTCACACTCAACGGGTTTGTCTCATCTTGTAGTTTATAATGACCACAACCCTTTCTTGATGTCACTAGGGCATCACAATGCTGCCACTTCTTCATCAATGTCAGGTCTAATCTAGCCAAGTCTCCTTATCAAGATTTTAGGAGCGCTTAACATCTGTGGGTTGTTTGACTTCTGTCAAGATTTTAGGAGCGCTTAGCATCTGTGAGTTGTTTGACTTCTGTTACTTTTACATGAGTCATGTTAGCCCATCCTTTAAATGTCAATCAAATGCGCCAGAAATATTTTATTTCAATTTGTTTTTCTCAAAGGGAATTTATTCAAGAGGTTCTTTCACATCTGTCTCCTATTTAAATTAATTTGTTGGGGGTTCATATACCATGATTTCAGAAATTTTGGCAGTAGTAAAATATTTTGAGGGGAAAAGGAAGGATTCCATTATTCAATCAGCACCTACTTCCTCAAACTTGAGTGAATAAAAGCTTTAGCTCGTGTATTACGAAAATACTTCACACGTGAGGTGGGAAAATTGGTTGAATACAGGGATTTGATATTGTTTGCATTGTACTTTATTCATGTTTATCTATCATTTTTAAAAACCATGATTCACTGCACTTTTTATTTTAATTTATCATTGGGTAGAAGGTTTACTCAATAAATATGTTTTGTTAATTGCCACACTCCCTTGAAACACAAATTAAAAGCTATTCATAGGAAAATTATTTGCAGCAAAATCAATGAATTTATATGAACTCGATTTTTACCAAACTTCATAATCTTTTGTAACTTGCCCTATGCAATAAGTGCAAGCAACCTCTAAGAAATTTTAGAATTGTTTATTATTATCCCTATGCAATAAGTGCAAGCAACCTCTAAGAAATTTTAGAATTGTTTATTATTATCTCTTTTTTTTACTTATTTCTCAAGTCCCTTGTTTGAAAGTACTACAGAAATATCTGCATTACTTATGGTTGGCAGCTGTTTCAGTTTTAATTGAATTGTAATTTGTTGCCTTTAGTAGAATAAAAGCAGTTAGGCTAGTTCGAGTTGGCATTAGCAGTGACATGGCAGATTTTGAAGTTGCTGTGCTGCACTGAAGAGCTCTGCAGAACATCTAACTGTCATCTTTCTAACATTTCAGCAATAAAATATTTTCTGGAAGCACATGGTGGAGTGTAATGACTGCAGATAATTTTGAAACAATTTTCAGGAAACATTATCGTCCACACTAATCAAAAGTTGTAGAATTGATGCTGTAATGAATAGCTATGTGTAATACCTAATGATATTCTGGTTCTCCAAGCTATGTACAAGAGTTGCCCAGCATCATAATGTGTTACTAATCAGTCCTGTTAATGATCAATTTTTTCTGCACAACGCGGAACTTACAGAATATCATTCAACCTTCAGCTTCCACATCGAGTTGCGATTAATGGCTGTGGCATTGGTTCTTTGTTGTTCGAAGTTGTCAGCTGGTCTTGTTGTTGTTGTATTTTATCAAGTCTATAGAAGGGTGCTACTAGGATTGTTGGTTTGAGTGAATTGAGTGAATTTACATGATAGTTACTTAGTTCTGAGTCTATGACAGTAAACTTGAGTCCTTGAGGGATGACCTCTTTTCAAAATACAGTCATATTATTTTGTTCTGTTCGAAGCTATCATGATCGTACCTGATAAGATGGAATACTCCAACTGCTGCTTCTTGCTAACGATTTAAATTAGGATGATTATGTCTGGGTGAATTCGCATCAATTTTTTTGAACCTAGGTTTGTTCGCTCATGTTTCAAATTGGTTGTGTTGTTGGTCTCTTCTTGTAGGTTCATTTTTAATTAAGAATCTCTCCAGCTATGCCCGCATCTACAGCATTGTTATCAACAACATGCGCTTTGGAGTGTAGTCTGATCTTGTTGCGACAAGATCTGACTTAACTCTAATTTGTTTCATTCAGAGATTGAAGAATTATCAGCATTACATTTTGGATTTCATCATCTTAGATCACGTCTTCTATAGCTCAGTGTGGTTAAAATTAAATATAACTGAAAGTTCTTCATTATTGCACTGTGTTACACATTGAGTGTATAATAACATCAATCAGATTGGAAATTTATATCATGATGTGTACACATTAATTTTGTTTACACATGTGCGTTCTTTTGAGGACCTTCTAAATGATGTGGTACCGACTCCAAAACTTTGAATAGCATAACCATTGTACATTAGTTTAATCACCCCACACTAGAAAAAGCTGGAGACTTTTAAGAGATTTTTTGCTTCAGAGTGACATATATTTTAAATCTTATTAGCATTTTTTGACTTGCTTGCAAGTTTTTGAGATATCATTGTCTGTTATTAAACTTTATTCAAGGTAGTAAAGTACAATTCTCGTGAACTGTATACACTAATTTGTAACGTGGTTGCATTAAATACCCATGCTGCCAAATTTTAAAAACCTAAATTCAACTTTAAGTTTTGATCATAAATTCATCTTAAATGCTGTTACCAGTCTTTAGCTTCAATTATTTCCTACTAATCAAAGTCAAATTCATGGTAAAATTGACAAGAATTACAATATTCAAATCTATTGTGACCAAGTGAGTCACGGTGCCGCCTCATGAGTCACGGTGCCGCCTCGTGAGTCACGGTGCCGCCTCGTGAGTCACGGGTCACGGTGCCACCTCGTGAGTCACGGTGCCACCTCGTGAGTCACGGTACCACTCCCTAAGTCACGGTACCACTTCATAAGTCAGTGTCATGCTAGCTAAACTCGTGGCTGGTGTCTTGATCGCTTGTTGTTTTATGTGTCAGGTCGCCGTCTCCCGAGCCCATATACAACAACGAGGGCAAGCGCCTCAACACTCGCGAATATCGCACGCGCAAGAGGCTTGAGGACGAGAGACACGCGGCCATCACGCGCATGAATGAGATCAACACGGACTACAAGCCTCCCACTGACTACAAGTAAGTGGCTTTGCCTGCTTAGTCAACCTTCAATCCATGGGCTTAAAGTGTTATTCTTTAGAAATTTAATATTCTAAGTGCAAGAAAAACTAGTCACAGAAGTGTTGTTTCAGCTTTATAAATTATGAAAAACCCATTGTTCTCTTTAAATGCTAATGCTGATATGCATGGATGCTGAAACATTTTTTGTATATTCATTTGAATTGAAATTAATATTTGTTTTAAATAAGTGAACTGATAGGTTTAGCAGTAATCGTATGAACCTTGGAGTTGCTCTAGTATGCTTGTGTGCCCTCAGGCCGCCCATCATCAAGGTGTCAGACAAAGTGATGATCCCGCAAGAGGAACATCCCGACATCAACTTCGTCGGTCTGCTCATCGGGCCGCGCGGAAATACTCTCAAATCCATGGAGAAAGAAACTGGCGCCAAGATCATCATACGCGGCAAAGGCAGTGTCAAGGAGGGAAAGGTGTGATATGTCTCTGTGATTTGCCTACATTGTTCATACTATTATATCCTGGATGGTGAAAGTTATTGTAAGGAAGTACTAGTTATATATCTTGGTGTGCTGTCATTCTTATATTGCTGCCGAATTCAGAGCAAAAGCGAATATGGCAAGCTTAATTCTCTTCTATTTATGGTTAAACTCTTGCTACGTTTATACTAAACATTCGTATACCTAAAAAAAATATTTGCATTGTAAATTGTGAAAAGGAACAATTTTGAGCTGCTTGTATTAACCTTGTTATCAATGAAAGAAAATTATAAAATTCATAGGCTCATTTACCAAACAGTTTGCCCTACTTTCTGGTTCAAGCCTAACTAGTCTCCTCTGCGTGAGGGTTGACTGCTCTAGTGCATATCTATTTATTTTGCTTGTAGTAATCTTTGAGTGGTGCAAATGTATTTGATTATTGCAGGTGGGGCGCAAAGATGGGCCCATGCCTGGTGAGGATGAACCGCTGCACGCGTTTGTTTCTGGTACCAACTTGGAGAGCGTCAAGAAGGCGGTCGACAAGGTGAGCTCTCTGACAACCCTATTTTATGCTTAGTCCTGCATAATTTGCTCTCTAGAGTACCACATCATCCCTAATGTGTTTTAAGATCCTATGGGTGGACAGTTACCTAAGTAGAAATATTATATATTGTACATTAAAACTTCAATGGATCAAGATGAAGCAATCCTTACATTTTAGTCAAAATAACTATCGCAAAAGAATAAAAAAATGAACTTATCATAATTATTTTATTGCGGTAAATATGAGGATGCCTTTACTTGACATTTTACCCCTCAATATGCAAATCCTTGTTTCAGATCAAAGAGATCATCAGGCAGGGAGTAGAAGTTCCTGAAGGCCAGAATGACCTACGCCGCATGCAGCTGCGGGAGCTGGCGCTGCTCAACGGCACGTTGCGCGAGACGGACGGGCCTCGATGCAGCAACTGCGGGGCCAGCTCCCACAAAAGTTGGCAGTGCCCTGAGAAACCCAACATGACTCAGGGCGTTATCTGCTCTCTGTGTGGGGGTGCTGGACATATCTCTAAAGATTGCCGGCAACCTAAGCCTGGAATGTCCGGAGGACAGGGCATGCATATGGGAGGCATGGGTGGATCTGTTGTTGACCGTCAAAAGATAGATCAGGAATACATGAGCCTTATGGCGGAACTGGGTGAAGGGCCTCCACCTCCTTCTTCCGGCTCCAACTCGCAAACTCCTTCAACTCCCAATATTAGGCCCCTGTTTGACCGCCAGCAAGGTGGGCCTCGTCCTCTGCTCAGCTTGGGACCGCCACCTCTCTCCATGATGCCTCGTTCTACTGGTAACTCCATCAATCCCTGGACCTCACCTCCTGGGTCTGGTATGCATAACAACAACGCGAGCGCATCCAACGTCAACAATCCACGAACTCTACTGTCGTCTCCAGGCTTCGGCGGTTCATCATCAGCTCAGGGACCTCGTCCTTTGCTAAGCTCAGGCAACAATTCTGCTGGTCCGAACTTTGCCCAACCGCCTCCTGGAGTGCTCGGAGGTCACAGTGGCTCGGCTCCACCTCCGTGGCAACAACAAAACTCTAATGGACCTCCTTCAATGATGACTTCGCAGTCGTCAAACTCGCAGTCCAATCAGCAGCAGAGTGGCCCGCCATCTTGGATGAATCAAGTCCCTCCTGGTCCGCCAGGTGGCAACAACATGTCAGGTTCCATGGGTTCCTCTCACATGAACCCTTGGCAGCAGCAACAATCTCTCCAAGGAGGTCCTCCTCCCCCGCCCCCTGGCATGCAGCATGGGCCTCCAGGGATGGGATGTCCTCCTCCTGGCCCAGTGCCTCCACCTAGGCCTGTTGGACCTCCCCCAAGCTGGGGCTGGAATGGCCCGCAGAACATGGGGCCTCCTCCACCAGGCATGAACAGTCAACAGCAACGAGGGTCCAACGTTGACCTGGGTGCCCTTCTGTCTGCTCCGCCACCACCCCCTCCTTCCTAATCAAGCTTTGCTTGCTGACAGAAAATTGTCATATGCAGAATTGGAAATGATTTGGTTCTGATGATAGTCCTAGGAACTGATAATAGAATCAGAGACTTAAAGTAACTAATAAACAAACTGGAGTTGAATGCTCAAGAGATAATACCAGACTTTGTTGTCTAAATATATTCTAAGTTTCGAAAGTGCATAAACTCCTGGGTTTGTTCTGCCTTGAGTAACGCGTAATGCTCGATTGACACGACTTTCGCCACTTCTTTATTCTTTACATCACGAAGAATATGTGGCTGCTAATTGATTTACAGCTGTTAATTGATTTTTTATGTACATTATTGATCAATTATTCCTGCATATATTTGTTGTCAATTCTATTTTTTTTGTAGAGAAAAGATGCTAAACGATCGTCATGGCCCGTTATCATTTGTTTTTCTCACAGGCATTACTGACTTTTCATCCTGTGACTGAAAATGATGCAATAGATTTGATGAACGTTGATGAGTTTTGGGGTCGTAGGCTGTCCAATACTGACAAAATAAGCAAACAGGGCAAAATTGTTATTCCGTTAAAAGCCGATCTTGTTCTTCTCTGATGACGAGCTTGTTTTTCTCAGATCATGCCAGCAATACTGTAAAAAAAACTTGACTTGTGTTGATGGTCTAACGTGATCTTCGGTCTGTAATACTTGACGTAGCCTTATAGGCACCTTCCACCTGCTATGGTTGAGCAGAGACTAGCGGGTCTTGTGTCGTCTAACCTTATAGACGACGTAATCATCTTCTATCAGTACAGGGTTTTAGAAAGACTGCAGCAAAAAATATCCTCGACTCTAATGATCGTCGTGCTGTACAGATTCCAAACATAGTAAGCAAGATTCTCGCACCCTGCCAGCAGTTTGGCGTGGCGGTGCCATGGTAGCCGCGCATGTGGCACGGTCTGCTCTGCATCCAATACGTTACAAACGTCCTGCAATTGCGAGACATAATCATTCGAGAATGCATTGTGTCTGATGCAGCAGATGGCGTCGAGCGCTATTTAAATCTTTACGTTCCTTTCATCTATTTGCTCATTGTGAGTGAATGTTTCTTGAGCGCGGCTCACTAAAACATTGCCTCGAAACAAGATCTTTGATACGGTGTTTAAAAGTTTATTACCTAAAGTGTTAAAGTTAAAAGTGTTACCTAAATTTGCTTTATCGAGCTGCAGGGTATTTATATACGTGGTTAACTTAGTGACTGACAGTAGATATCGCTTCATGGTCTCTGGTCTGAGAGATCATCCTACAGCCGCTCGGAACGCCCGCATTGCCAGATTGAGCTTTCGCGACAGATTCCATTGTTCCATGGCGGCTCTTTGATCAGGATCGAGATGATGTGTAGACAGTGTAGCACGCAATCGCTGGCAAGAAATCATTTGAGGTCACTCTGGCAGTTTACCTATCCTTATTCGACTTGTCAATGGCAATCAGATCTTTGTGAAACTGCAATGACTTTGTGCAGAAATGGGAAAGTGCGTGATAAGTCGTGAGAATTGAACTAAAGGGCCGCTTGGGTCACCAGGGCGTCGCCCTTCCGTCTTTCAAACATCTCTACTCCCTCACCTGGCTCGAGGATTTATAGCTCCTGCCGCACCAAGCTCACATTGTAAGCAGCTAATATCTTCATCGTGTATACCTCCCTAATGGACTTTAATACAACTTCGGGGACGAACTTGATCAGCTGCTGACCGCTGATCGGAACGACCGTGAACTTGACAAACCTCTTGTAGGGGAGTACCGATTGAACGTCTGAGACGGCAGCAGCTTTGCTCTCCTTGTGCATTTTCTCTCGTGCGTTCTTGACAATTTTCTCGTTGTAAATCCTTTTAAGCAGATTTGACGAACGTTAACGTACCTTTTCTGCCTAGTTTCATTTTTCGCAAGGTGTTGCAGCGTTTCCCATCCGGGGGATTCCTTTTCCTTGTTGCCTTCCTGCTCGCCGCCTTTATCCGCGTTCACGTGGATGGCTTGCGGGTCATGGTTAGGTCCAAGCTTCTTGCAGCGGCCGCCCTCGCCTGCACTTGGTCATCGCTCTGCTCGAGGATATTGCATTCCTTGGTAGAGGAAAGTTGGTCCCGAACAGCTTCCCCTGCGCATGCTGTCGAGCAGCAAGACCATTAAAGTGAGGGGAAGGCAGGCTTTGAGTATTTTCGTTGACTTAATAGCCGGCATGGTGTCAGGTAGTTCCATCAGTTAGTCGGTAATAATTATAATTGCATTCGCTCCCTCGCTGAGCTTATTGGGGCGCATGTGCGGATAAGTAGCCTCTCTTTTCCCGATATCTTCGAGTTGGCGGTGACATTTATTTATAACAAGGGTGAAGCTACGAGTCTGCATATACTGAATGCTCATGTGGTGGGCGTGCGTAAGACCGTCGCACGAGGGAATCATACACTCCCATTGCTTACCCCCAAGTTTCTGTGGGCGCTTGCGTGGCTCAGCTTTCACCGCATTGCTGCGTGCAACAGAAAAACTCCCTTCGTCGTCCTCACTACGAGGATGCCTCAGACTCTTCAGATGTACTCGCCGTTCCCTGAGACGAGTCACATGACAGGCTGGGGCCGGTCCAAACTCGTCTGCATTTGTCCTTATATTTACCGGTTTAATCTTCCTCTCTCCGCTGCAAGGAATGAAACGAAAACGTAGCATCATCGTCGGCCATATCAGCCTAAAACACAGATATAGGTCATCAAAGTCTTCATATATTCATGACATATTGACACGACATGTGTAAAGATTTCTATCACTCACCTCGCAGATGCAACGACGGCTGTCGTTATGTTGTGCCTCGCCTGCACTTTTAACACATATATTTCCACGCTGTTGAGGATTGTTGGTGTTCCCCAGCATAGTCCTCGTATCTTCTTCAGCGAGGTACCCAAGGAAGGGCGTTTCATGCTCCCCTTACATCTCCAGCAAGCTGCCGTCGAGCCGAAAGATTTTTGAACAAATTCACTCCATGAACAATCGAGTCCTCATCATGGTCTGGGTCAGCGACCCGGTCTTCGGTCAGTTTCGTCTTCTGCGGCTCAGTTCTGGGTGGGCTTAATTCCCCTCGTGCCAACCTTTTACGCCGGTTTGTCATGGCCGACGGGTTGACTATAGGGCTTGCCCTTCAAGGAAAACGTGGGCAGCGGCATGGCGGCGATGGCACCGGATCGTAGCTTGGGTTCCTGACTCTCTCTTCTTGGTTTAAGGCGCCTCCTCGTGCGCCGTAGACAGAGTATTCGCCGACGCTCGTTTTCGTTTTCTTCTCGGAGTCTTCCGAATCCATTTCTTCTACATGGAGGAGGGAAAGGAAGCTGCTTCGTGATTTGGGGTCAAGTACTACCTGTTTTTGCCTGCCGAGTCATCGCCGAATATTTTTCATCTTCATGGTCAGCGCCCTCCCGGCTCAGCGCGGCTTTCATAGCTGCCCGGCGGAACATGAGCAACTTTAAGTATTATCGAAAAATGATTAATATATATATATATATATATATATATATATATATACGAACCTAGTAAAATCCAAGTCGGTCAATTAAAACACCATGAATATTTGTAAGGTTTCATGAACCAGCTTTGCGACGTAACCGCTATATTTGGTTGCTACCGCAGCCGAGCCATCGCAAAATGACTTGACGATGAGCCCTCGCTTGATGACTTGATGTTCGGGCTCTACAACTGTTGTGAGAAAACAACCACACATTAGGGAAAAATAGTAGAAATCAAGAGAGAGATGATCAAAAACGACCGTGACAAAAACGACAAAAACTTAGGCAATAATACTGGAAATGCTCGTTAATCTAATTTAAATGAGAAAAAATTGTGCGTTACTTTCCGCTTTTTGCACTTGGCGTTACCCGTACACCGTGAATTGGTAAGATGGAGAAGCCACTTTCATCAGCCCGGTTTGGCTCGGACGGGTGCAGAAATGACCTCAATGGTCGCTTAAGGTCGCCCGACCCCGACCCGGTTCTCCCAAACGGGGAAGTAAGTATTTTACCTTATAGTTCAGCCCCCTTCAAATGTGGCGTTTAATTAATTTACAGCTGTTTATTGTCTTTTGATGTAGATTATTGATAAATTATTCCTGCACTAATTTGTTTTCAGTTCCGTTTTTGGAGTGAAAAGCTAAAGGATTATCATGGCCCGTTATTATTTGTTTTTCTCACAGGCATTGCTGACTTCTCATCCTGTAACTGAAAATGATGCAATAGATTTGAATTTTGATGAACGTTGATGAGTTTCGGGTTCGTAGACTGTGCGATATTGACACAATAAGCAATCAGGGCAAAATTGCCATTCCGCAGGAAATGCCGATCTTCATATTTTCCTCAGATCAAGCATTACAGTAAAAAGTTTGATTCGGTTCGGTTATTTCCATGTATAAAAAAATCAATTTGTTTGGTTTACTTTATGTGTCAGAATGTGTTGTAGCGATGTGAAGGTCAGTTTATTTCGATATTCGTAAACCGAATTTGATACTGCAAAATTAGAAGAGATATGTCCTGCAGTCCTGCTAATTATTCAGTTCATTTTACGAGACAATTCTGTCCCTGAAATCCGCAGTGTTGACCATTAGAGCAGAGGACTGGTGATATGTTAGTGATCACAAACAAGTGCAACCACTCCACCAAATTTAATTTCAGAAGAGACAAGAATCAAGTTTTTTTATCTGTTCGCAGGCATGAGGGTAATAAGTGTCGTTATATCTAAAATTGATGCATACGCTGGGAATAGGCTTTGTGTTCTGCGTTGGCATGCCTTTGTGCCCTCGTATGTTGTATTATTGACGTGAAGCTTTTGTCTTATTTGCCTGTAAATATCAAATAAGTGATGTATTTGTCGTAGAACTATAGTTGGCATTTGAATCACCCTTAAAATTGCTTGCAAATAGGAGTCGTCCATTTGATGACTAACATGTAACATAGTACAATTTAGCAGTAAGTTATTTCACTTGTATGTTTTACTGCGCTGAGCTTATCAAAGCTGTGGCCTAATTAAGTTTTTTATTTCCCGTTTACCCTCCAGGTGACGAGTAATTCACTATGGGATGAACACGCCTAGCAAACAAACACCTATTGCATTACTACATAAAGTAATTTATTATACCAAAATTTTATTTCGGGTCAAAGGATGAAATCATAAGCACTTCAATAATCGATGGATTTATTGACTAGATGGGCGTTTCGTACAACGCTTCATTGCGAGTGCAAGAGATCTTCACCGCTGTACATGAAGCAAGCTTCGAGGTGTTCCATTATCTTACCAAACTGCACTTTTGAAGCTTACGATAGTTGGAACTTATAAATGCGTTTTTGGCACGTAAAATCTTATGCTAATATCTATATGCTTTTGGCATTCGAGTTGGGAACACACATTACTTCCCGAGATTGGGCGCTTAACACTCTGTCCACTGCCTTAAACTCCCACAGTCTGCTGACGTCAACCCGCGTTATCAGGCCTGCTACAAATAGCATTGGTAATGTTTTAGTTCGGAAGTTACCGAATCTCAGTTGACCGAATAAAAAAAATTCTCAAGGCACTTATGTGACTGCTAGCTATTATATTTAAAACTACGAACATACTTTCAGTTCACAACGAAAGTTAATGAAAACGGGATTTCCTATAACGAAAACTAATTAAGTTACCGGCAAGGAGCATTCAACCCCCCTGGCTAAAAGAAAAAGTTATGCTTGTAATAAAGAATGAAATACGCAAATTGGGGTGGTTTAACGTAGGAAAATTGGCAATAATTACTGAAGTTTTATCTGTGTGAATATTAATTTAAAACGAACCAGTTTTGAAAACAAGACGTCGACGGCATATCCCTTCTTTGCAACACGTAAAAAGAATGACCAAGATCGTCGGACAAAAAGAACGTCGCTACAGGAAGATTTTTTATCTATATTGCCGACTAAATGATTGTCAGTCTATCTGGTCAAAAAAAAAGTGAATTATATATGCAATAAATATCTCGTTGGTAATGAACAATACAAAGTTGCACTGATATAATATTCTGACAATTTGTTAGAATGTTAGACCAAATGGAACAACCTGTTTGCTACCAAAAAGCGAGCGTTTATGTGAAGAGTTAGAACACACGATCTTTAAGTAGCTTACTCATAATTGTTAGTAAGTTTGTTAGCATGAAACACCCAGCGGTAACTACAGACAAAACAAGTTCAGACGAACTGCTTAGCTTTTCGAGTCGGATATCGTGCCAGAGTAAAGCTAGATCAGGCGTCAGCACAACACAGCCCCAAATATTAATAATCAGTATTATTTTTATTGATATCAACCCAAAATGACGCAGCTCAATACATTAACAGGCAGGTACAATTGGAAGCAAGTAATCGGACCGTGAACGGTCAATAAGAAACAAGAGATATGTGGCCCTCTTTCTTTGCAGGTAGTGCACTGAACTCCCTACTCATCCGCCATAAAATGACTAAAGCTGCACTTGCATACCAGTTTGGCCAATTGAAAAAGGTGATGATCGTCACTTCTGAGCGAAGGTGAACGCATAGGTTAGTATCCCAAACGACCAAGAGAAAAGAAAATGAATAATTAATCCTAAAATGGTATCAAAGAAGCCAACCTTTATTGTCTCATCAGACCATGCGCTTACTCATTATTTGCACGATGTTTATTTCTTGGTCATCACAGGACAGTCGTGACAAATAACTATACTCTATTTCCACCCGTAAAAATAGACGAGTTTAAGATTCAATAACAAATATCGAACAGTAACTTTTAGCTCTAATAACGATAATAATATCAGAGTAGTCGCATTCTACCACGTCTTTAATTGCTAAGTAACGTATACCTTACTCATACCAACAGGAAGCACCTGCTCTAGTCTGTCAGAGTGAGTGAGCTTCTTTGATAAACTCTTTGATAATATAAAAATTTTCAATTAAATGGCCCATTACAATTTTCACTTGCGTGGTTTAAACATGCAAACCAAACGGTTAATTCTTTTAGGTTTGAATGTTAACAATTAAGTAATATGATGAAAGAGATCATTAACATTCGCAATGTAGCTAAAATAGTCTCAAGTTACGACAAAATTTATTGACCGACAGCTGAAGTATTTAAAAGCAGTACTTCGCTCTAGCACCTCATAAGTCAGCAAATAAAAACAAAACAACTTACTAGCACACACAAATTCAACAGAACATAAAACATTGTCAGGTTATAACACTCTGAGTTAATGCAACGAGATTCACATGACTAAAATGAACAAATTGCGGTCACAGGGCGGTCTCAACAGGAAAACTGCGCCGAGCCTCCAGCATAGCCGTTTTGGTGACAGGAGCAGCAGCTGCTGCGGGCTGCGGAGGAGGATTTTGTTTACTTTGAGTAGCACTTCGTTGTTGTTGTTTGGTGAGGACAGAGTTGCCGTCGGTCGTCAGGTGCCGATCAGATGCAGGATGCTCAGCTGCTGCCTTGGGATCCACCACCACCAGGGTCGACGATATATTGCTCGACAGTAACTCGACCATCCTGCAAAAAGGATGGTCAGAAATAAAATCTTCAGACGATGTCTAGAAACTAGGGCGATGCTAGTTCTAGCGAAACACTATAAAAGGAATTACATCCTCTTAATATAATAAGGAATGTTTTTGGTCATCGACCATCCACAAGGATGAGTAAAATTGAAATGAAACCTAGAAACAATTACCAGAAACTATTGCGATCCTAGTTATTGTTAAAACACTATTAGGAGGGATTACACCTTTTTAGTATAATGAGGAACGTTTTCTACAAAAGACACAGTAAGAAGCATCACTGACTGGCATCGCAGGGCGCGGTTCTCGGCGATGATGTTGTCGGTTTGCTCGCTGCTTTGCTCCAGCAGGAGAGCCAGGTTAGTCAGAGGCTGCGGGGGCGCTGGCGCCCTGGGCAGGTCCCCACCAGGGGCACCAGCTACATTTCCTCGACTGTGTGACGCCTATTCAGTAAATAATCTATTATTATTATTCACAAGTAAAGGAAATGTCTTGCTTACCACAACACTATCCGTACAGACATTTTGAAATCGATTTACGGGCAACAGGCGTACATTCAGGAATATTTTCTAGCAAAAACCTTCAATAAACGCGGGCAAAATAATCATAAGGTTCATACATCTTTCTAAAAATAAGTTCAAAATATAAGGCTATCCACAACCGAATACTACAGTTTCAAAGCGGGTCATTTAACCCGCATCTCTTACTGATGGTGTAACCTTTATGTTACAGATATTGTTCTCTTTTGCTCAGCTAACCACAATGGCCATGATTTTCCAGATATCGTCCTGTCGGTGCTGCTGCAGGCTGCTGATGGTTTGGGCCGCTCGAGCGATGTCAGCCAAGAGCTCCTCTAGCGGCACAGCCAGCGCGGTCACCTCGCTCAGACAACTCCACTGCTTCCTGAACGGAAGTTCACTTTTGAACCAAACTGCATTCAATTCTAAATAATGAAAATTTAATTAAATATCAATAGAAGTCATCTAACTATAATTTTGCACTACCATTATAAGTACCTAATTAAAATGTCACATGAGCAATGCTGAAAGTGAAACTGACTCTAAATAATCTCGAGAGTATAGACTGATGTGTTGAGAATTTGAGTTAATTCGAGCGAGTCTAAAAATTCAGTTAATTAATTAAATTAATTCGGACTCATCTCCGTCACTCAAGGAAATAGCATAGCGATTTTACTTAACATGGTCAACGAATGCCAACATGCAAATGATATATAAAATATGCATATACAATATTATAGATACCACACAATTATATAGGTAATGGTACATAAAATTGTTTATAATATATAAAACTGCACAAAAGTGGTGTATACATGTCGGATTGGCAAAAAATTAAATGCTGATCTAAAGTTCAACCCGCATTCAACGCATAAATTTTCAATGTTCCTGACAATAAAAAAAATTTCTATAGATCAGCTGGAGAACTAAAGATAAAGAAATTTTTTTGCCAATCTGATGCAAGTTTCTTCAAACATTTAACACAAAAAAACTAAATATCAGGAAATGTGTTCGACATCAAATATACGCTCGCCGATAATAGATCCATAGTTAAACAAAACCTGATCACCGCAGACATGCGAGTTGCGGTCATTCCGAAAAGTCCAAGTGACTCCCCAAATGAGACTCACTCTATGTGCGTGTACAGGTCCTGGTAGTGTGTCACATGACTCACTCTATGTGCGTGTAGAGGTCCTGGTAGTGTGTCACATGACTCACTCTATGTGCGTGTAGAGGTCCTGGTAGTGTGTCACATGACTCACTCTATGTGCGTGTAGAGGTCCTGATAAAGTCTGTCACGCTTCCTGAGCGCCTGCAGGAGGAGCTTGCACATGGCGGTGCTGTCGTGAGGGCGGGAGCGCTCGTCGCGGGAGCGACGTCTCAGTGACACGTACAGCTCCTCACAGCTGCTCACGCTGCTCGGGCAGTAAATAAATCACGATCTTTACTAATGACAACACGGTAACAATTAATAACCTAACATATTCTTGTTTAACAGAATTCAACAATGCATCAAGCTGCTCGGGCAGTAAAAAAACATCATCTTTACTAATGACATTATGGTAACAATTAATAACCTAACGTATTCTCGTTTAACAGAATTCAACAATGCATCAAGCTGCTTACGCTGCTCGGGCAGTATAATTATCAAGTACTCAAGTAAAGATAATACAGCAAACGAAATTAAAGACCTTGCAAGTGCGTGTTTAACAAGATTATACAACTAAGATGAATCAAGCTCCTTATGTCTATTATCCTAATCAAGCAATAATTACTTGATACGGATAATATATGAACAAAACGATGAAGCTAATTTATGATCAGTTCGTGAGAATTGTGTGATAAAGATATTTTCTTCGGATAAGATGATGAATCGAGCAAGTATGAGAAGTCATATTAAAATACAAGACATTTTTACCTAGTAGATTGGATGGAAGAAAATAATATTAATAAAAAGGTTAATTGTTGCGTTTAAAAAGTACTTTTTGAAGACAACACTTCTAAAGAGGCCAGTGTCTCTGATGTTACACATGTTCAATGAATTTCTTATTTTATTTCGGAATATTAAAAAACATATATAATAATTTTTTAATATTTAAATTTTGTTATTTATTCTCTCAATTGATTCATGCATTGTCTCCGACTTCACGCAAGTGTGCAAAATATCAGATCGGTTGAACAGGTAGAAGTGTGTTAAATATCGATTATAAGATTTGTAGCAGACAAACAAACAACAAGAAGTGAAGTTAAAGAGAAGTGTTGTAAAATAGAGCTTAAAACGGCCATCAAGAATTAAAAACTAAGAAAAAGTCAAATAATCTCACCTTATCTTCTTCGAACAAAGATTTCCTTGATGAAGATACGTTGAATTTAATTGCATTTTTCAATAATTTTAAATTCTTAATTAAGTTTTGATTCAAGCAGAATTTTAATACAATTACTTATTAAACGGCCAATTTACCACGCATCAACTGTTCTCACATAGGATCCAGCGTATCGGTAGTATTCTCGACGCTGGAGAAGGGTGATTGTGTGGCAGCAAACACTAAATATTAATGAAACAAGCAAAATAAAATATTAACGATCAATTCTCTTCCCCTCGATACATGAAGTAATAAGTATTCTCACATGGTATCCAGCGTATCCGTAGGAGTCTTGGCGCAAGAGAAGGGGGAGCCATTGAGCTCCATAACCTTGGTGTTGAGGGCTGTGAGGGCGGCGTCCAGTCGCTGCGTCTTGTCCACGGCCGCGTGTACGGCAGAGAGCGTCGCCTCGCCTCCGCCTCGCCACGCCCCATACGCCTTCTCCGACGCTGAGTTCAATTGCAAGAAATGGAATAAAATATCCAGTGCAATATCTCATGAAATATGAGCTATTCATTTCAGGTTACGCATTATTTCGCGTTAAATAGATACATGCATGTCTTAAATGCATTTGATTTCTCACAGGACAATCAGACAGCGACCAAAGTTTACAGCTCAAAGAGGCACAATCATCTAAAAACAACAGATTTTTCCTCGTCTTTACAAGAATAAGATTGAAATCGTAATTAACTAAGCAAAAAAGTGGATAATTTGAATGAAGAAACCGAAGAAGGATGAAAATCTAAATTAGAACTTTTATTAAAACCTCTGTGGGAATTGCTCATTTACACAACAAAAATTCTGTCAACCTCCATCATCATTAAGAAGATTGAACCGTAGCATATGTTTGACTATAAATTAGAGTGGGAGAAAGAGTTAAACTACTGAGGAACTGCCTGGTGTACTCACTGACGCGGGCCTGGGGGGACTGGCTGGTGTACTCACTGACTCGGGCCTGGGGGGACTGGCTGGTGTACTCACTGACGCGGGCCTGGGGGGACTGGCTGGTGTACTCACTGACTCGGGCCTGAGGGGACTGGCTGGTGTACTCACTGACGCGGGGCTGGGGGAACTGGTTGGTGCACTCACTGACGCGGGCCTGGGGGGACTGGCTGGTGTACTCACTGACTCGGGCCTGAGGGGACTGGCTGGTGTACTCACTGACGCGGGCCTGGGGGAACTGGTTGGTGCACTCACTGACGCGGGCCTGAGGGGACTGGCTGGTGTAGTGATCAAGGTCGGTATTAAGAGCCTCCATGAAGAGATGATGGCGCGCCTGCAGCTTGGCGATGTCGTTCAAGACGCGCTGCCCGCATCGCGTCACCTCCGCGTGCCGGGACAGCAGGTGCAGCCTGCGTCATTAACATCAATACACTTCATCATTATCATGATCATCATTACCAACTGATCATCCCTATCGTTAGAAATTGATCTTCACAAGTATTACCAACTGCTCGTGATTGTCAGTAGCAACTCATCGCCACCATCACTACTAAACTCATCATCGATAGAGTAAAAACAAAATGAAAGCCATTTCTGGATATCTGACGAAATTTCCATGTTCAAAGTTTCAATTGTTGAGTATACGGAAATGATTTATAGGAAAAGTTTGAATTTTTTTCATTTAACTAACATAGCAACTTTTCGAGCGGAAATCAGATCAGAGAGGCGCGTACTTTCAGTGTAGAAAAAGTTACCAATCGTTAAAATTAAAAATATTTTTGACTTTGAAAGAAAACTTTGACTTTGAGCGATATGGATATGCGATATGGATAAATATGGATATGCGATATGGATAATATGGAGCGATATGGATAAATAATTTCAAAACGTTAACTAACATTGCGATTTTTTGAGCAGATATAAGAGCGGAGAGGAGCTTGTTCTCCCTGTAGAGGAAGTAGAGCGAGTGGCACCACATGCGGCGCTGCAGCGCGTGCTCCACCAGAGCACGTGGAGACCTCAGCATCTCCTCCACGAGGGTTGGGAAGTGGGGAGCAACTTGGGGGGTGAGGGCACAAGTGCTGAACACGTACAGCAGCCAGTCATCCTCCTCCTGTGGCATAAACAAGTCAAGAGAAATTTGTACTTGGATCATTAATCTGCTTAAATAGAAAATTCATCAACAATTTAAAAACAAAAATAGTGTTTCTTTCGATCAATAAGTGGGGATTTTACCAAACATGGTCAGGAACGAGAGAGTTAATGGAAATGAATAAACAACTACCGGTAATAGTTTAAATATAAATAAATGAACCTTGAATCTAAATTCCTTATGCATAAGAATTTCCATATCTGAGCCCTCTGAGAAAAAACCTAATGAAATATTTGCCTATGTTTCTGTGTTTTTTTTTAAGTGTTCAGCGCCGCAAATACACATGAAAATTTCTTCTAGTGAACACAAGGTGACTGTTGATTCTGTTCTGCTGCAAGTACGATTAACCAGCTAACGAAAAAATCCTCCCTACGATTAAAGTTACTATAAAAGAAAGCTTTTACATGCAATGAAATGACAGTCCGGCAACAGTCCTAACCTGAACTGAAAGTCCAGCAACAGTCCTGACCTGAAGTTAATGTCCAGCAACAGTCCTAACCTGAACTGAAAGTCCAGCAACAGTCCTAACCTGAAATGAATGTCCAGCAACAGTCCTAACCTGAAATGAATGTCCAGCAACAGTCCTAACCTGAAATGAATGTCCGGCAACAGTCCTAACCTGAAATGAATGTCCGGCAACAGTNCGTTACGTTAGTAACGCCACACACCACCAACACGCCGATGATCTGCACAACACGTTACGTTAGTGACGCCACACACCACCAACACGCTGATGATCTGCACAACACGTTACGTTAGTAACGCCACACACCACCAACACGCCGATGATCTGCACAACACGTCACGTTAGTAACGCCACACACCACTAGCATTCAGGCTCTCAGCACAATGCTAAATGCCTTACAATTTCCCGTTTAGATAACAACAAGAAATCTTTTGAAAAACGAAATAAAAGTAATTCAAACAGAGTTATCAGTATGTTGTACTTAAAATAACAATTAGTTATCAGTATGTTGTGGTTAAAATAACAATTACTTTATCCAGCAAAAATGAAAATCTTTGCTTTGACATTCAGGTTTAAGCGCATTACATGAAACATGTATCACCTTCTTGTTGAGCAGCGCTGCCATACGAGTGAAGGCAACCACTTGCTTCTTGTCATCAGGCTTGGCGCCCTCCACCTGACCACGCCTCGCCGGCTCCCACTCCAGCATGAGCTGCAGCCAAGCCTCCAAGCCGCTCCTGAATACATGAATAACTGCAAACTGAACCACAAGAAAATAAACAATGCTTCTGCAGAACTGCTCATAAAAAACAGTACAAAATTAAATGTCGACACAACTACGATATTTATCTCAAGTTCAGCCCTTGCTCACATTGCTTATAACTGGAGTCAAACAACTGGTTCACAGTTTGGCAATTCACTATCAATAAATTATAAAGCAAGCAGCACTACAGGATTATTCTATGTGAGATTTGGTGCTTGACTTCAACATAAGCTTTGGAGTTTAAAGGGAGGCAGGGTATAAGGTTCAGAGTATGGTTAGGTTCACACAGCATTTAAAATCTGGAATTGTGCAAAAACATGAACTCATCTCGTCATTCTTTGATAGAAAATTTTTATACAAAATAGAGAAAAGTTTTCCGGGTTCATGACCACAAACATGGCATAGTTATGAGCTGCTTAACTCTGGGCATCCAGATAATTTTATTGTTAAGATAATATCAGTATCTTTAAAATAATTAACAAGAAATTTCACACTAATTCTTGAATGGGACGAGCCAGACTTGAGCGGCTTGGAGATGTGGTTCTCGTCGAACATGCGCTCTGAGAAGTGGATGTCGCCGCTCCTGCCTTCGTACACGCAGATGTGGCATGACTTCTTGCTACGAACTCTCTTCATCCTGCACAACAAGGTCATTATTTTTATTACATTCTTTAAAAACCTTTAGGCTTGGTTCACATCATACTTCCTGGCACGGTCCCATCCAATGTTCTTTTATGAATTTCTATAGAAGCATTCACACCTGCCATACCTGGCAAGGTCCAGCCACTATCAAGGCAAAAGATATTTCGACCGGGACGTGACTGCGGCGTTGCCAACTTTTTTTTTGTCGAGTGTACCAGATTTTTGTCAAAACTGAAGTGTGGATGGACCGTGACTGGCATATGCCTGGCAGTATGGTATGAAGCAAGCCTTAAAGGGCTACAATTACATTAATATCATGAGTTTTCTACCTTAACAATATTATTCTACTGAGAGACCAACGTGGAGTCTGGTACAACTGATCACGTTATACATTGAGCGAACCAAGAATAATTTAGGAACTGACCAAAAAGTGGACAGAAGAAAAGAGAACAAGGCAGAGTTGGTCAAATATGTTGTCTTTAGTTAATGACTTCCTTGTTTTATTAGCGCTAATTTATAATATTCTTGTTTATTAGAATTATAAGCAGCCTTTTATCGCCGGTGAACCTCATAAGCCTATAAAGGCATCAACTACATACTTCCTTCAGTAGTTATCTTATTCATGTTACCGTTTTTTTCTGATCTTCTCGATTTTTATTTGAATAATGAATACAGAACTGCAAGCCAGAGAACCTTTCATTTGCTGCCCCGCCATGCAACAAGAAGCAAGTGATCAGAAGATCTTAACATCGCCTACGTACAAAAGCTCGCACACTCGCATGAAGCATTTCCATACCGTCAACGTGTACGTCTTCAAGCAAGCAAGACATTAAGAACTAATTATTCTACAGGCGACATGCCGGCACTGTCCACTCTAGTGGCGACATGTTGGCACTGACAACTCGACATGTTGGCACTGACCACTCGACAGGCGACATGTTGGCACTGACCTCTCGACAGGCGACATGCTGGCACTGACCACTCGACAGGCGACATGTTGGCACTGACCACTCGACAGGCGACATGTTGGCAGTGACCACTCGACAGGCGACATGTTGGCACTAACCACTCGACAGGCGACAAGCTGGCACTGACCACTCGACAGGCGACATGTTGGGCAGGAAGGGCCGCACGCCTGTGACGATCTCATGCACCACCAGCCCCAGCGACCAGTAGTCCACGGTGCACGAGTACCTGCTCAATCAAGTTCAGTGTAGTAACAGGAGAAAATTCAATAATTGACTATCATATTATTAATACACATGATATTCATTTCTGAGAACCATTTCAGGCTCCTCAATTCAACATCTAATACTTTAATTTCGTAATCCCCCGTATAATAATCAAGATAATAATATTTATTAACTGATATAATATATGATTTATATATTTGATAGATTAAGGAGAGCATGTACGTTAAAAACAAAAAATTTTGACTTTCCAGGTTTTAGGCTCGGTTTAAAGGTCCAAAAACAGCGCATTTAAAGAGCCCAAAGCCGTGTTTGTGCGCTCATTTGTTTGTTCACAATGTAGCTGCGCTATTCGTCCGTCTTTTGGTTGTCCAAATTCACGCTCGTAACGAGTAGAGTGCGTTGCATTCACTCCGGGTCCTTTATAATGATGGCGGTTGGGTGCTCGCTGAAAAGCGTCTCGTGATTTTATTCGGGAAGAATTGCCGTTCTTCGTCTCTTAATTCACAGCACTTAATTCATTTCTTGTTGACCTCACTCAGAGTGGCCGGTAAGCGTGTTAACTTGTACTAGTAGGATGCAATTTCTACGGTTGACTTTTAGTTCACGCTGTTGGATTGCCGAGAGATATCGGGCCGCGGAACACTGGTTATATCTAACAATAGTTTGCTCGATATAAACAGTGGAGATGTGAATGTGGTCAAGTTGTCGTTTTCCTAACTTGAAATTGTTTGGATATATCTGGCTAAGACCCCCATTAGTTTTCTTACTGTGGAAGGTCAAAATTTAACTTGTAATTTCTTGTATATATGGTGATCATTCCAGGTGGAAGTGGGCACCGTCGTTACCTCACTTTTTTTACTTGTTCCCGTCGAAGATTTTCCCGACCTTCCTGCTGTAGCGGGGGATTTGTGAAAAGAATGTTTCCTGCTCACAGTTGGATACAAGACTTGGTGACAGTGAAAAGTTTGTCGTGAAAACGTGTAGAACTGTCAAGAGGTAGCCAATGACTGCGAGAGAGAACCGGACGCCAACACGGAGCTCTAACATAAGCGATAAGAGTTGACGAAGGGACTCCAGGGACGTCTGTTCTCCCGGCTTCGCTGTGGAGGTCGAACATTCACCGGCCCGAGCATGGAGAGCAATTTTGACGTTGTAGGAGGAACAACTGAGAGGGCGCTAAAAATTATCGAGTTGGCAATAGGGTTTACTTGTGTGGAACTAAGTCGTGTATTACAGGTGGGCGTTTGGTCCTAATCGTTTGGTGCCTACTTGGTTTTTAGAACACAATAATTCCATTCAAGTTATCAGAGGTTTTTGGCACCCTATAAGTATCCAAGTTTTTTAGTTTTAAACACTATCGCGCCCACAGGTAGCGGATAGCCTATATATGTTGATAGCTCTCCCGCAACAACGACAGCAGACGAAGCGCAAATAAAACTTGTACCTTCAATGACCACAAATTTCAGTTTTTTGGCTCTCCTGAAAAATTGGAATTTTCATCGTAAAAATCTATCGCCTTCTATGATTTTTAGGCTACAGCATTGACAGATACACCATTCAATTTGTAAAGACCTAATATAGCGATCATCCAGTAACTTTTTTCATATCTTTGGATTATATATAATGAAAAAATGAAGGAGGGGCCAAAATAGAAAAAAAAATCAGAAAACCACCAAAAAATAGAATAACAAATTTGAAGAAGTGATCTAGTGATCGCTAGATATGGTCTTTACAAATTGAAAGATATGTTTTTCGATTTTGTAGCACGTTAAATGAATAAGGAGATCAATTTTCACAGTAGCCCCCTTTTTGTAGTTTTCTATAAATTTCACATTTTTTTATATACACAAACGAAAAAAACTTGGATTTCTATTCAATGTAGGTGAACCAAGTTGCAAAATGATCCGTTCGTAAATAAAAAAGCTTTTTTTTACATACATGATCCCCTTACATATCAGAAACGTAAATAAAAAAGTAATTGAAACTCACACTAAATTATTTTTTCCAGGAAATTTGAAACAGTAAAATAATTATGAAATTTAAGTAGTGTTATGTGATACGGTACATCTGTTCAGCAAGTAACAGGGCTAACTGTTGCATGACTAGTAAGTAACAGCGTTAATTGAGTGTCATATATCTCATCAGTTAGTTGAATAATCGTGTTGAGAATGGCATTCTCATCTGTTAGGTTAGTAAGACTTGCCTCTTGCTGAGGAAAAGCTCAGGAGCAAGGTACTGCAGGGTTCCCACAAAGGACGTACACACGCTTGTGTACTCCAGTTCCTTGGCGTAACCGAGATCAATAAGCTTGTAGCGTGTCTGTAAATGAGTCGATTTTTATATCAGAAAGAGCTTCATATTCCTTAAATTTGCAGACAACCTAGGCAATCAAACCTCGGTCAAAATTAGCCCTGTGCGTACATACTTCATCCTGTGTCTCATCCATAACACTTACGCCAGACCAGAAACGTGATCTATTTCAATAAATTTCATTGGCTTACTTAGGTAAAAAAAATATATATCTTTAGTAAACAAGACTATATTACTCTGAATACAAGTAATAATAATGACTAGAACTTGTTCCACAATCTTTATGCGAATGATTAGCAACCATTGACGGATAAGCTAGGATTGGCACACTGAAGCAGCACAAAACAATCATGGAACTTCATAGTTTGAATTGCAAATATATTTAGCCAAAATTTGAAGAGTAAATGAAATAACATACGTTTAAAAATTACTTTTTAAAGACAACACTTCCAAAGAATCCAATGTCCCAATCTTACAGATGTACAATGAATTTCTCATTTAATTTTCGAATATTAAAAAAATTAATTTTTCAATTTTTTTAATATATAATTTTTTCAAAATTATTTATTCTATTAATTGATTCATGCATTGCCTCTGACTTCACACAAGTGTGCAAAATTTCAGATCAATTAGACAGGTAAAAGTGTGTCAAATATCAGTTAGTTAAAAGATTTGTAACTGACAAAATTATTTTTTTTCAATTTTTTCAATATTGAAATTTTTTTTTTAATTTTTAAAATCATTTATTTTGACATCTGATTCATGCATTGTCTCCAACTTTACGCAAGTGTGCAAAATTTCAGATCGATAGGATAAGTAGAAGTGTGTTAAATTTTGATTACAAGATTTGTAGCAGACAGACAGACAGACAAACAAGAAGTGAAGTTAAAGAGAAGTGTTGTAAAAATAGAAAGAATTGTCATATTTTCAACGGTGAAAGCATCTCTGAGTCAAACTTTGTTGACAGTTAAAAAAAATCCTAGGATGTATGAATGAATGAATCAGCACAACTGGCAAGATTAGGCAACAAAAAATATGCACAAGCATATAATACTTTGTAAAAAGAACTTTAAACTGAAGAAAAAATATCAAATCGAAAGCTTCATATTAATTTTCAAATATGAAGAATATACAAGCAAGCCTAACCTGTCCTTCATTCTCCTGAAGAACGATGTTTTCAGGCTTAAGATCTCTGTGTATGATGCGCTGGGAATGCAGATATGCCACTGCTTCAGTCAGGTCCTTGAGACAACTCCTAACAACGACTTCACGCAAACCACAGCAGTTCTCTGGTCGGTTCAACAGCTGCTCAAAACAAATTTAAATTATCAATCTGAAATCCAAGATATTAGGTTATTAATAGTATAAAATTATACATATTTTACAGTCAATGTGTGTCTTTTGAATTTAATGAACAAATGGACATTCTTTGTAACTTTCCATGCAAAACACTAGGATTGATATCCAACATGTTTTGAATTCGCAATATGACTTGAAGTGGGTTATGCTACATCTGCCATTTTAAAAAATAAATGTACACAAGAAGCGATACGAAGCAGTTGAATTTGGTAACCTGGCTCGAGCCAAAGTAAGACTTTCTGGCTAATGTTTTAGGTTGAGTTAAATGGCAGTGGGCACTCCGGCCAGCAGCTTGCACTCTGCTTTCACTCTATTGCTCTGAATACCTCTGTTCTCCCAAACACTCAATGGGCGTTCACCATTGTTGCCTCTTTCTTCCATTATTTTTTTACAACTTGAAATTTTTTTGGCTGCAATTTGCCAAGAGACACCCAAGCTCAATCCTGGCATACGTTGACAAAGACGCAACAAACAACAGGAACAACAATTTTGAACTTGCCTTCCTGAGGTCTCCACCACTGCAGTACTCCATACACAATATGGGCAGGTCACCAGGTCCACCCTCCAGCTCACTTGGCACCTGAAAAATAAATAAATTCATTAGAAAAACAAATAAAGAAATATGCAATCAAATTATATTACCGTATTTGAGCAAATTCTGTGTTTTATCCTGCTTATTAAAAATAATTGATGAATTTTTAAAGGCTGTTTTAATATTATTTTATACATTTTCATTCAACTTGAATATTAGAAGACAATTAGATAAAAAATGCCAAATGTATTATTGAAGGTCCTAGAAACCAAAACAGTTATAAGCCACAACATCATGCACACTAATAATGAATGCCCATATAATTTCATCTACATTTGATCACTGAAAATATGAGAAAATCCTAAATTAACCATAAAACTTACAGGGAAACAGGACACAACACATGGATGCTCAAGCCTGAGCATGATCTGCACCTCCTTCTGCCATCGTTCCTTGTGTTCAGGGCTCAGAAGTGTCTCGGGGGATGCAGGACTGCCAGTGTTGCCCCAGCGACACTTCTTCAGAGCTGGTATCAGATAAATTTACTACAAAAATTATTTTAAAGAGACAAGACAATATGATCAAGATTTCAAATAAATAAATTTAGCATCAAAGTTACCATTACAATGAAATATTATGAAACAGTCAGAATCAAATTAAACTGGTTTTATTACAGGTCTTTGATAAAGGTATAAGAAGATATTTTATATGAAGATATTTTGAGAACCATGACAGAACATCAAAAAGAAAGGCAATTATTTTTGGAGAGCACATGCCATAAGACATAAAAACACTGCCCAGCTAACCCAAGACATTATAAAGTTATTTCACTTCTCATTCATATTGTGATTAAACATAGATTGGGTTCAATTTTTGCAGACATTATTGGATTAAAATAACAGTAATTTTTAGGAGTTTATAAGATAAAATTTCAATACATACTAAAAACATGCCAAAATAAATGAGTCAGATTAAAAATTTTATTTTATTCTGATTTCAATTCTACCATAGATCCAGTGAATGGATCATGGATACTCTACAACCCTTTCAAAAAATATAAAATTTTCTTCAAATTTTAAAATTGGAAAAGTTTGGGTTATGGTATAAACCGTATAATTAATATGGTATCTTACCAACTGTTTCACCAGAATTTTCATTCTTCCAGAGAGTGACAGTGCCAAAGCCACCAGTGCCAAGTACCTTCTCCTTGACCCATGGCTTGAAGGCATCTGGATCATGAGAGGTTGCTTTGGAAGTGATGCTGCTTGTTCCATCACCTTCACTGCTCCCATCCATTCTGAAATATACAAAGAATTTGAATTAAAAAGGCAACTTGATAGCTTTGAAGGACATAATTTGAAATTAAAATTCACAATTTAAAAATTCATATATCAAAGTTTTTAACAAAATTAGCATTTAATACCATATTAATGCTATCATCCTATGTTTCTTCATATCCACACTTTTTATCCACACTACGTTCAAGTATACTTGTATTCGCTGATTTCAAGTCGTAAATAAATTAATAGATGATTAAGTTGAGATGTTGGATTTCGACACATGAAAACTAATTCCGACACAACTTGAATTGGACACACACAGATCGTTCAAAGCTTTATACAAAAATTGAAATATCATTAAACAAATATACAAATTAATAATATTCGTAACTAGAAGTGTATTTTTGCATATCCAACTCCATTTTTATACAAATAGATAAAATTTCAGAAATATTCTGAAAACTCCCAAGTCCAAAGTAGTATTGAATCTAATTCTAAAGAGCAACTTTTACCCCAGACCCAAGTTATAACAAAATTTAACATTTGGAAGTAGTTATTTACTTTAGTGACAAGAATACGGTAGTTGTAAAGTAATCAAAGTAGATGTTTTTAGATTCTCTTTCTTGTTCAATTTGAGTCTTATAGGCAGCAATATTGGAATTTCCTTACTTATGAATAAAATTTTGCAGTCCCAAAACTGGCAGGAAAGCTCTAGTTGTGGGCAGTGGGCACTCATGACCCTACTGGTAGTTGTTTTCCAGGCTAGCCTCTAAGTAGACCAGTCACCAGTAAAGTATTCATGGATACCACTATGACTCATACCACTACCACTCAGTACTCACCAGTCACCAGCATTATTATACATAAGATATTGGTACAAATCTTGAGTAAATGAGAACATTGAAAATGAACCGATTCTAAAAAATCTCTGGTTTGAGGTTTGTCACTATGGTGACAACTGACATTTCATTTGACAAGTTAGGGTAAACGCGGTATATTCCGACATCGTAGGTAATTCCGTCACTTCTCTAGTTTTTCCTTTATATTAATGCTGACGCGTAGTGAAGTGTTTTGAGAGTCATGTGAAGGCAACAGAACTTACGTAACGCATACGGTTTTTTTTATAGTTTTTCATTTTTCGATGCGTCCTTAAAGTGTCGGAATATACCGCGTTTACCCTACAATATAGTGAATATCATACAGAACAGTCACTGTGACTATAATAGTGACTTATTAAATAAAAGTGAATAATAGTCAACTGAAGCTGACTGAATTCTGAATACCTAGTGAGTGACTGACACTATTCATAATTCAGTCAGCGTCAGTTGTCAGATTCATTTCAGGACCCTCCGACCCAGACAGACTGAGACAATCTGGCTGTCCCAGTCTGGGACTCTGGGTCCTCTCACTCCTCTGTCCTCACAGTCACAGTCACCCCACCCAGTAGTACCTACCCAGTGGGAGGTCCGAGGCCAGAAGCCCAGCTGCCCAGAGCCAACCATAGGCAAAATGCAAATGCCAGCATGACGGTATGACAATCAAAGTCAACCTAGTGTAAGTGTTTGCTAATTGGCTTACTGTTTTTATTAGGTATATCAAACATCAACTGTTGTTTACTTTACTCACTTACCTAGCTATCTAAATTTCAATTTGTAGGCGGAGTAATTTGCAGCTTTCGAAGTCCTGTCTTTTTTTGCTAGTTACCCTTATAAAGACAAAAAGAAGTAATTGGAGTGGTTAAAAACTCAACTTAAACAGTAAACACAGAGTCACAGACGTAATTGTTAATTTGTAAAGACCAAAAATTTGCGTCAACAAAATGAAATTTTTCCCAGAACTAAAGTTCTGGCTTCATCATTGCTTCGGCTCATTGTCAAATCCAATATATGTTCTGAAAACGACTAATTAATTTTAAACATTAGACTAAAATCACTGAACTGTCTGAACTGACTGAACAGTGATCATTTTTCTACGACGACGAAATTCGGTCCGAAATCGCGGAATGCGATGCATTGTTCAGCGACTGATTTTTCTATACTCAGTACTTTCAATGAGAATTTGAACTTCTGAAATTATTATTTTGGTACTATAAGTAAAAATTATTTCAACAGCCAGAACGACATTTTTTCCCAAAAGCAAATGCTTTTTCCTTGCCAGTACCCCATCGACACTCTGGTGCCGGCGTTTGACGCGAGTTTCAGACCTAAATTTGATTCCGTGAAATTGCGGGTCAGGGTTGCTGTCTTACATGGTTTCATGGTCAGGGTGTTTCAAATCAATTACTCAAATTTATGCCCCAGATCAAATACTTTCTTAATTTAATCGATTCTTCAGGCAACGTTCGAAATAAATCGCCACTCGAACGTTTTAGGAAGCATGCCTCGGGCTAGGCCGCTGGTGCCTTCTCCGCAAACGCCCCTTTGACAACGGGTATCGTATCAACCACTCTACTCGCCAGCTGGTCGAAGAAAGCTTAATAGGTGCTAGCACGTGGGAAATTTTTCAGAGTATTAGTGGCAATACTTTCAGCTGGCTTCTATTGTCTTTTCTCATCTGTACCTATGAGTGCTTCGATAGAAACAGTTGAATTAAGCTTGCTCGGTCAAATAATATGGAATGTGACAATAACATTTAATAAATTTTTGTTGAAATATTTCGTGAGCATTTCGAGGACTTGAAAAACGTAATCAATCAATATTGGATGTAAGTAAAAAAAGGGCGAATGCCGAAGGCCAGCTTATCTGAACTTCACACTAGGTTCATATTCCGTTCCTTGAGTAAAAAGGCATTGAGAGGGCATAGCGATTAGCAGTCTTCGAAGTCAACTGCTCAAAACTGTAGCGCCCGATGTCCATAGACACTACTTAAACATGCCAAAGGTAAGCATGGTTATATTGCATCTGAACAAACCTACTCCAGCCTTACTTCTTCTGGCCAACCTACACACGTTACAACATTTCTCCGCCCTAGAGAAGCCTGAGCGGACCTAACCTTACCTCATTGGCTGCTGAAAGGTAAAAATGCGGTATAAGTGAGCTGGTAAAGCCAGTTATTAATTTTGTTGCAAGAAGGCTGTGAGCAAAAGGTAGTGATTATTTTGGCCAGCCAGAAGAGGTTAGGCTGAAATAGTTGCTACCGGATGCGGAACTGCTTACTTAAGAGCGAGCATGCTTAAAGGGGCTCATGCCTGAGGCAATCTTGCCAAACTTCACAATTAATTCATTTTCCTCTTGGCGTGTAAAAACACTAATGGGCATAGCAGCCTATGAAGTCAACCGCTTAAACCCCTTTCACACAGGGCGGGCAATCCCGCCGGCGTGAAAAAACCGCCGCGGGATTCCCCGCGCTATCATTAACACGAGGCGGTTTTTCACGGTGGAATCTGTCAGTCTTGCAGCGCTGTTCTCCGTAAAGCCTCTTTCACACAGGGCGTGAAATCCCGCCGGCGTGAAAAAAACCGCCGCGGGATTTCTCGCGCTATCTTTCACACGAGGCGGTTTTTCACGCTGGAATCTATCAGCTTTGCAGCGCTGTTTTCCGTAAAAGTGGTCCTCAGTTTTTGTGAACTATATCTATGAATAGCAAAGAAAAGAAAGCTATCCTTTTATATTTGCTGCATAAAAAGCAGCAAAGAAATAAAAGGAGGTGCTGGGTTCACAATATAGTAAAATTAAGGCCACAAGAAGGTGAATTTGCCACTCTATTCTGAAAATTAAGAGAAGATGAAGTAAAATTCTCCAATTATTTTCGAATGTCTGCCGAAAGTTTAGATGAATTATTGTCTTGTGTGCAAGGCAAATTAACCCACAACAGCATGCAGATGAGAGACGCCGTGCTATTGAAAACTGGCTTTAACTCTCACACACACCCTCGCCGACCCACTGTCTGTACCACACTAGTTAGCGGCGTGAAAAACCGCCCCGTGTGAAAGATTACATTGAATCCCATTGCAAGCTAAACTGTCGCGGGAAATCCCGCCGCACTTTTAGCTTGACACACGCGGTCGTCAGGCGTGAAATTTCACGCCGCGTGAAAAGCCGTCGTGTGTGAATTAACAGTGCACATTTCGTATGTCCGCTGAGGTTCGGCGGAAAATCCCGCTGCGGTGTTTCACGCCCTGTGTGAAAGGGGCCTAAGGCCGCTTTCACACAGGGCGGGAAATCCCACCGGCGTGAAAAAAACGCCGCGGGATTTCCCGCGCCTTCATTCACACGAGGCGGTTTTTCACGCTGGAATCTATCAGACTTGCAGCGCTGTTCTCCGTAAAAATGGTCCTCAGTTTTTGACTATATCTATAAATGGCTGCTCATAGCAAAGAAAAGAAGGCTCTCCTTATATATTTGCTGCATAAAAGACAGCAAAGAAAGAAAAGGAGGTGCTGGGTTCACAATATAGTAAAATTAAGGCCACAAGAAGGTGAATTTGCCACACCATTCGGAAAATTTAAGTAAAATTATTCAATTATTGTCGAATTTCTGCCGAAAGTTTTGATGAATTATTGTCTTGTGTGCAAGTCAAATAAGCCACAACAGCACGCAGATGAGAGACGCCGTGCCTGTTATTAAAAAACTTTAACGCTCACACACTTTGGCCGACCCACTGTCTGTACCACACTAGGTAGCGGCGTGAAAAACCGCCCCGTGTGAAAAATTACACTGAATACCATTGGAAGCTAAACTGTCGCGGGAAATCCCGCCGCAGTTTTAGCTTGACACGCGGTCGTCAGGCGTGAAATTTCACGCCGCGTGAAAATCCGTCGTGTGTGAATAGCAGTGCACATTTTGTAAGTCCGCTGATGTTCGGCGGGAAATCCCACTTCGGTTTTTTTCACGCCGACGGGATTTCCCGCCCTGTGTGAGAGGGGCTTTAGAACCATAATGCCGTACGACATTAGCCACAACTTAACCTTCCTAAAGGTGAGCATGGCCATATTGCATCTGTCCAAACCTCTTCCGACCTAACCAACACAAATAAAAACTTTGTTCCACCCGTAATCAGCCTGAGTGGACCTAACCTAACCTTATTGACTGCAGAAAGTTAAAAAGGCTGTTCATATACTTCTTCTTGGTTACTTGGTTAAGATGAGGCGCGTCACTTTCTTGGGTATTGGCGCCCCCAATCCACAATCTTCAGGATGCGTTAAATGTTGCTGAGCATGTTGGTAGCTTGGCGGTACTTGCAGTCCAGCAGGGAATTCAGGAGCCGTAAGCTAAGGCAGGCAGTGCCAGTAAGGGACCGAGAGGCAATAGCATGCAGATTTCAGCTGGTCGCTTTTAGGAGACAGCACCGGGAAACTGATGAAGAGGTAGTCGAGGGTTAGATGGCTCTGACATATTGAGCACTGGAGTGGGGGAGATGTTGAAAAGTGGTGGCAGGCCACATCAGGCCTACTATTCAGCGCCGACATTGCTATGTTATGAGGTTAATAGGTACTCTCCTAGCCTAGCCTGAACATCTGGATGATTTGGGTGAGCTCCAGAGAGGCACGGGAAAGCCTGTCAGCAGCTTCATTGCTTTTTATTCCAACGTGTCTAGGGACCCACTCCAAGGTAATTTGTTCGGTGTTGTATCCACAAGCAAATTCCGTATCCAAGGCACCAAGGGATGTCTGGAAGGGTGGGCTGATCGGAGGCCGGCGATGCAAGCAAGGGATTCGGTATATATTGCAAATTTGCCTGTTTTTTTAGCAGCAAATTTTATTGCGAAGTATATTGCATACCGCTCTGCTAAAAACTCTGAAATGGTCAAATGGCGGGTGGTAGTCTGGCTTTGATTTTGAATGAGGGGGTTAAAGATTCCAAATCCTGATTAGTAGTCACTTACAGAGCCGTCTGTGTAGACTTGGTGGTGAAGAGGATAATTGTGCGGTTCATATGTGAGAAGGTTCAAGGTAGAGCCAGTCCTTGGCTGCAAGAAGGTTGTGAGCCAGAAGTTGTGTGAGAGGTTAGGGTAGAGTAGGTGCAGCGGGACGCGGGACTGCCTGCTTCTGAGCGAGCATACTTAGGTTCTGGCGAAGAGTGACGAAGACCTACGGCTACGGCCAGACTAAAAAATGTTCAGTTGTTCACGCGGACGGCGCAAGCTGACGCTTCAAGCAGCGCAGTGCCGCGCCGCGCGTATGGTCTCCAAACTAGACGCTGGACCCTTCATCTTACTGCGAGTCAGTGTATATAAATGAGTGTCAGAAAGAGACTAACAGCCGTTCTCATTGATGAAAGTTATATAGGGAAATAAAAGCTAAATTTAAAAATCTCATATATACTTTGTTTTGTCTTTTTTGGAATCCATTCAGAAGATATTAGAATTAGATAGATACTTTGATAGGTTATATATGATGCATACGTAGCGAGTCCAACCTTAGTACAGATAGACTTGATGTTCATGTGCAATTTTTTAGTAAAAGAAGTAATTCAAATAAACTTGTTTTTTATTTTCCTTCTTTATTTCAGCTGGTTGATTTTCAGGCCGTGGTGAGTGAGACGCGTGAATAAGGCAAGCATGTCTCTAGATGCTGTTCGTCGTCGTCTGATGCTACCAGGATGTCGTCGATATAGAATAGAATAGAAGTGTCGGCGTTGAAGAAATAGGCCCATGGCCTGTTGCCGATTCTTGAACTTTTCGTGACTTGATTCACAATTGATCCGGCCTTTGGAACCCGATCTTTCTATAGCTGACGATTGATTGAGATAGCTGCATAGCTTCGTCTAGTCTGTTTTTGAAGATTGAACGCTTCCTTGTGGCACGCCGCTGCGCACTGAAGCCCAGTCTGATACGGACCCATTAATACTGACACGTTGTCGCCTCCCTACTAGAAAATCTCTGATCCATTTGAGTACATTACTCTCAATTCCCAAAGACTTCAATTTACGCAACAACCGCTCATGAGGGACACTGTCAAATGCCTTGGCAAAATCGAGGTACACTGCATCTACTGGCTCCCTTTCGTCCAGCAGGCGGGTCCATTTGTTCAGAGTCGACAAGAGGTTAGTGGTGCAGGATCTCCCGGCAATAAAGCCATGTTGATAGTCTGATAGAAGATTATTAGCAGTCAAATGATCTATCAATCGATCCCTCATAACAGATTCCAATACCTTGCAAACGACACTTGTCAAACTGACAGGGCGATAGTTGCCCGGGCAGCTTTTGTCACCTTTTTTGTCACTTTTGTCACCCCAATTGAAGATGGTTACTGGACGAGATCCTTTTCCTTTCAGTGGCACTGATAAGTTGCGAAGAGCTTCATCCAGGAAACGCTGAAATGTTTGACTAGCAGAGCAGAGGCCAAAATTCATCTTTAGAATCTCGTAGGAACCAAACAGCGTGACTACACTAGTGTTTGGAATGTCATCAGGGTGAATTGGTGCCTGTAGGAAGGCAGATTTAATGTCTATGCACGCGCGCACTTTCTTACCGTTAAGTTCAGCTGTGAAATCTGTGAAGAAAGGTAAGGTGTAGGTATCAGGCTTAGTTATCTTGTTGAGCGCACGATAGTCACCCACTGGCCTCTAGGAATTATCTTTCTTGGGGACCATATGCAGGGGAGAACCCCATTCACTGCGGCTAGGGCGAATAATTCCATCGGCTAGCATCTGTTTGATTTCTTCGCGAGCAGGCTTGAATAGCGCAGAACTTGTAGTCCAGGAAAAATAAGGTTTGACCCGGAACAAATTGCAAAAGAAATGATTTTTTCACCAATGCTCCAGAAGGGCAATAGAAACAACATACCAAAAATCCTCTCAAATGCAAGTAGTGGAAGGGTGTCAAATTTAAAATTTAAAAAAATGGCCGCCGAATGGTAATACAAGCCCAATAACACATTTTTAAAATATGACCAACAGTTATTTTTGTGACTGTATGTATGTTTTCATGTAGGGGGTATTCTCTAATAATAACTAAAATTCAACCAAGGTGGTAGCAATCTAGTATTTGTATAAACAGTCACCCATAATGTGAAAAATTGTGATTATATAGGCATGTGGAATAATGCCTATGATATATACAGGCAAGCACCTGGAGTGTGTGTGTGTGATGCACGGTGAGTGTGTGTGTCTATATCATAAATGGTGTGTTAATTGTAGTAAGAGGGCAGCATTGTCTAGACCCTCTGGTGTAAGTTTTTAGAACATGACCAGCAAGAAAGGGTGGCCCAGTGGGTAAAGTTCAGAGTACCAAGATTGGCGCAGAGAGGCGCGGGTTCGATCCCAGCTCTGTGCGCCAGTTTCTGGTCGGAATCGGCGAGGAGGCCGGGCGGTTAAGCACAGCAAAATTGTAGCAGTGAGTTGCGAGTTCGAGACCGCAAAATGCTGTGAATGTCCTGCGATGTTAAGAATCGGCGACAGGCCTACGGCCTAATAAACGCTGAAACCGCTATTATTTATTATTATTATTATAATGCGCCCTTTGTAGCAGGCCTGTCCTAGAAGGTGGAGAATGTGCAACACTAACACCCAAGGGTTGTAAAGGTATCCAGAAAGCCAGTGAAAGAAGAAAAGTTGTAACAACTGTAATGCCTGGACAAAAAGTACACACACAATGTCGCAAGGGCCATTGTAGGTCATTCAGTATTGAAGCCCAGAACAGAAAAAGAGCAAATGAGTCTTCTGAAGACGGAGCACGCCAACTGAGATCTACTGGAACCGGCTTTGATTTCAAAAGTAACTGTATCTATTGCGGGACAGGGGACAGATATGGTGGTAAGAAGAAAGACTTAGTGCTGACACCGTTCAGGGAATACAGTGTTCAAAGCTCAATCCTGGGGTCTGAGAGAGAAGATGAGTGGGGTCTGAAGGTGAAATCCAGGGTACAGTTTGTAGCTGGAGAGATTGCTCTAGTCTTTCTGTACAAGGGTGCTACCGGAGAGTCTCTGGACAAACTTCGGTTCAATAACTTTCACAGAAAAGTTGTTGTTAGCAAAGCATTTTTAGGCCCCCAGGTGCTTCCACCTACATCAGCAGCAGCTCAGTTTCATAGTTTGAGGACGTTTCAACAGATTGTTTAACCAGGAGGTCTGCCTGTCGGAAACGGGATATTGAAATGTTCACCAGCATGTGGTCAGGGCCATGGTGTGTGCAGTATAACACAAGTCAAGTACTTGACAGTGATTCTAACTCTTCCGATGAGTGACCTCAAGACAGTAATGGTGATGGTATAAGGGCGAATATGATACATAGGAGTGTTCAGCAGCATGTAGCCAATGCTGATACTCCTGATGGGTGACATCATTCTATTTTAATATATTGTATAGAAAAATCACAGTTGGGTAACATGGAGCAGCGGGCCCCCCCTTTTTAGCGCATTTTCTCATTTAAGGAGAAAATGCACTATTGTGCTCGCCATGTCCGTCTGTCTGTCCGTCTGTCCGTCCGTCTGTCGTGACCTCAAGTTTTCGTCGACGAGAAAATGCGCTCTCTGTCACTCACTGCAGTGAGTACTGAGTTATATTTTTTAAACTAAATTTTTTATGAAGTTTTAATTGATACGAGGTGGTTCTTTGTTATGTTTAAAGGTACAACTAATTAGGAATGTATGATGTGAATTAGACGCCCATAGAGTTATTCAATTTTGAAGGAAACACTATTTTGTAAAAAGTGTCAAAATGAGCCCATTGCCCCACCTCTGGGGCAATGGGCCCATGGGCTTGGGGCAAGGCGCCCACCCATGGTCCCTTTACCACAATTGCATATTTTTCGTTTAAAAATAATAAAATAACACTTAACAGTTAAAAATAAGAAAAATGTAATGAAAAATATGACATTCCTTCATTTATTAACAACTTAAAAAATCATATCCTCAACTTGAAAAAAATATACTCCTGGCTTAAAAAATCTATCACTGACGTGAAAAAAATATTTCATTGACATAAAAATGTATATATCGTCGACTTGAAAAATATATCCTTGCGATAAAAAATTCGTCCTTGACATGAAAAAATGTATCCTTGACTAGAAAAAATATATTTAGTTGATCAGAAAAAAATTCGTTCCAGCTTCGTCCATAATCCAGATATTATGTGCAAAGAATTCGTACTTAATCGTGATTTCAGCCAACACCATAAAAACTCATCAACTTTTGACTCATTGGTGTTGGCTGAAATCAACTTTTGGCAAGGCACGAGTCAAAAACTCGATAAGGGGTCAAATACGCATAACTAGAAACTAAACCTGCTGCCTTGAGGCGGCAAATCAAAAATTCATGCAATATGAAGCGTAATTTGTAATTCAAAAAGCTAGTCATAGTTTTGAAAAGGTCATTGAGACAAATCTAATGATGTATAACACAAGACTTCACCATGGGCGCTTTGCCCCGTGACACGCGTGGGCCCGTTGCCCCACTAGGTATCATTTCAATTTATATCGTGTCAACATTTTATTGTATAAGCTAATAGTCTAAACTTGAACTCAAAATTATCCCTATAAATATTACTTTCAAAATATAATTCACAGTAATTTCAAAAGCTTCATTTACAGTAATCGAAAATAGTTTTATTTAGCAGCAAAAAAAAATTTATTTGGGCTAAAACAGTTATTCACAAATAACTTAATAACGCAAACTCTTAGCAAAACGTAAATCCGTACACTTCATCCCAGTGAAACTGTCGACCGGCGGTAGAGAACACGGACCAATATCTGCCATACTTAGCGAGAAACCCGCTATGGGCCCGTGACCCGCAGTGGTCCGTTTGCCCCATGTTACCCTACTATGGACAGTTAAACTTTACGTTAATAAAACCTACTAGTTCTATAGCTTAAGCGTCATAACTGGATTTTAGTGTTAGCAAAACTTCTTAATTATTTCAGTATATTAATTTCTCATTTTTATTTTACGTCCAAAATAAATAAATAAAATGTGCAAGCTGAAATAAAAAAGGGTTTTTCTATCCCATTCATCATTCATATGTCTGATATTTTATCTTTTTGTCTACACAGCTGACGTTCTCTTATTTCATCTTGGAAATAGTTTTCCAAAGCTGACCATCATAATTAATGATTTTCTGAGCATAATAACTTTTTTCCTTCTTATTTTACATCAGACAAATACATTTATGCCAAATTTTATCAGTAGAAGAAAAAAAGAAACGCTGAGAATTCATCGGACTTTAAAAAGCATAAAATTATCGATAAAATGGCATTTTTATTACAAAATACTGCAAAATTTCTTAGTTTATATAATTTAGCTCATAATATAGATATAATTTGATTTATTAGCCTAAAAAATTGGTTTTTGGCAGCAAAACTGTTCCAGTCTACTAATTCAACCCGCTGCATATCAACATATAGTTTCCTTCGGCGGCCATTTTGAAAATCACTGATTTGAAGCCTTTCCACCAATTATATTTTAGAGGATTTTTATATGTCTTTTCTGAGGCCTTTCTGCATATTATGGTGATGGAGAAAATTCTTTTGCAATTTGTTCTAGGTTGACCCCCTTTTTTCGCAAGGTTTCCTGGACTATTGAGGGTCGTGCCTGGGCGCGACACGGATGACCCGGAGTTTGTATGCGGTGCTGACAAGTGCATAGTGGCGATGCGAAGGCGAAGTAAGATCAGGGAATTCTTTAATCAGATTTAAAAGGGATTTGTTGCTACAGCTGAAAACGTTGCCTATGCGGTTTGCGTCAGAGCATGCTAGAGTGTCAACGTTAACGGACAGCTGGGTAGTGTTATCGACGATCTTACGCTTCCCTACGCTAACGGCTAGATTGTAAAATGAAAGAAAGTCTATGCCAAAAATAGCGTGTTTCACGTCAGCAATTATGAAAGACCATGTGAATTTGCGTCGCAGATGGTGATCAAGAGTTAACAGTTTTTCGCCGTAAACAAGAATCGGCGAGCCATTTACAATTTGTTTGTGTCGGAGATAAATAGTAAGTTTGTGTGGTGCTTGGTTGTAACCGAAGCATTGCTGCCCCCTACAACGCATGCTATTCGTTTCCCGATGGATGTTAGGGCGCCTCACTGACCCATGAAAAAGGTTGTTGACAGCGGATTGCTTTCTTGCCGAAATTTTTGTGGTGGTAACAGAGGCTTAAGTCGATCCCCGTGGTCTGCTTGTGCTCCTTGAGCGGTAACTGTTATTGCGACCCGAATAGCCACTCATTTGATATTGCACGGTTGTTACTTGCTGCTGCAAATGCGTGATAGTGGTAGTGAAGGTATGCGTTAACGTGTTAAGCGTTTTGCTCAGTTCGCGCAAGGAATCGGCGGCTGCTTGACTTTGGGCCATGTTGTTTTTTTACGTCCATTTGCAGAGCTTTTATTGCTGTAATTATTTCAATACTAGACAAGGGTTGTAGCGCTCTAAGCTGCTGCTGCTGCGGAAGCTGAGGGCATGGAGCGATGTAGGGAGGGGCAGTTGGATCGAGTTCTGAGCTCACGCTGTTGAAATTCAATTCGTTTCCTATCGCAAGATGAATTTTGTCGGCCGTATCGGCCAGATAATCTAGTGATTGATCTGTCATTTGTGCGATTATAGCGCGCATAAATGAAGGTATACGCTCTAAAAATATTGACCTAAGCAAGGGAGAATCTGTCTTGCGACGTTCCTGCAACATTGCGGAGGTGACGCAAATATTAAAATTAATTATTGTAATCCGTCGGTAACCAGCCCGTGACATCATCTTGCTTTAAAATATTAGGAGCTTTACGCCATCATGTTCTGAAGCGAATAGCCCAGATAATAATGGTTGTCCACCACTGAACGTTGCATTGAATCATCACTTCATACCCTGACTTTGGCTCGAACTGTAACTAGCGGACAACGGACTGCGACCAGCCAGCCCAGCTCGCCAGTGGAACTGCATGCATCCTGCCCTGCATCACCAGACGGTCACTTTTAGCTCACAACATCCGGGGTTAGGTTTCAGAAAGCATAGTTCTGTTCCAAAATCTATCGTCCGCCGACGAGTGACTTCCGAAGCTTCGCTAAATCACGTAACTTTTAGCTCACTGCTATCTGAAACCTAACCCCAGAAGGCCCAGATGCTTAGTCCTGATCCAAAATTTATCGGTTCTACGACGCGCGGCCGTTCGACCGTATGCTGATTCGACACACGGGACAGATACGGACGGCTCTGGGGCGCTCCGTCCAGGTGGCGTAAAATTTTTTCGGATATATTGGCAGACTATACTGGGCCATTCTACGTCAGGCTATTTTCCTGTGGGCTGATTGATCTAATTCAATGGATGTCATCTGTCTGGTGGCTTTAGGTTGATAATGTAACAATCAGAAAGTGTTATAGGCTACGTTCTTGAGTGAAGCGATCATGATAGTCCCTTCGAAGCACGGCAGTGGTGGTCTCCAACAAGCGTCTCTTCACATTATAAGCAAGTAACTTTTATATACATGTACTGATGTACTCCAGTATTGTACTTGCCTACGGTAGCATGGACGCAATATGAATATGCGTCTATATGAATCTTGAATGCAGTGAACGTAAAATTCAGTTTACCTGAATGCAATTTTAGAACGCGTGTCCATTAAGTATTCAATTACACTGGCGATTGACCACCTGATAACCAACACAAAAGTTCACGCACTAAATTCGACGTGCTAACAGGTATTCCTGACAAGCATCTGTTACATGTATGCATAATACGCCGTGTAAGTGTATCTATCAGAGATACAACTATGGACTTCCAAGATTGTTCAAACTATTTATGACTGATCTAGGTTTATTTGGGATCAGCTGATCCAGATTGTTGTCTATCACTAATAAAATCCAAATTTTTCAATAAGACTAATCTGTTACCAAAAATGTTTCGAACACCCTGACTCTAGCAATTTTATTCTT